GCTGACGTTTCGAGCGTTAGCCCTTAGTCAGAGCGATTGACTTGATTCACTCTTGTTTACATTTGACAAATTCCTCGAACATCTCAGCATTGCCCCTCATACTCTCTCTAATGCGCTAGTTCCTTGGTCGCTACGAAATTTTTTCAGCATTTGTTCTGTGATTTTCATGTGATGCGCTCTCTGGCTCTCTACAGTCACGGCTATTTTGAGACCATGACAAAATGATTACACGAGGGCATTTGTTGGACTGGCCTTGTAACAAGAAATCCATTAATCTACTCAAGCAAAGCCAGAAGATACCTCAGTAAAGGTCAAACTTGTTCAAATTCATCCAGTTATAGTAATGTCTAAAGAGTTTATTATGTCAGACAGATATTTATAACTTCATCCAGTTTATTTAAACCGAAGCAAACAATGAAAGTAAACTGAAGATAATTAAAACAAGTCTTAGTGCGTATGAAATATCCCACCGCATTGCAGATCCTTTCAGCGTGTCTGTAATCAATGAATCAACACATCATGCCGAATCGAAACAGAACATTCTAGAATCAAAAACAACATACCTTAACTCGATTTTCCTCCACTTCTGAAAAGCTTCTGTACAACTTTTCTTCTTCATTCGTAAGTTCTTCAGTTGCAGCACGGAATCTTTGTCTGGTTGTTTTGAGTCGCTTTCCATCACTGTTTACAAAGCTATCGTCTCGCTCTAACCAGTCCAAGTTTTCTTGACACGATTCGTAATTTTGTACGCTTCTCTTATGCGCTTCAATGGCTCGTCTAAGACCAGGCAAAGTGGCTGTGAACTCGCAAAGCGTTCCCAAAATGTGACTACTCGTGATATGAACACTCGACTTATGAGCGACATGATCGATTTCCTCCACGACTTGTTTCAGCTGTTGAGAAATCTCTAAAAGCGGCGTTTCTTTCAAAACCGTTGAAAAGGCTTCCGCTAGTTGGGAACCAGCCCCACAGAAACCTTTTGTAGCGTCTAAATAACCAGTTATCAGCTTGTCTATCGCCCCGACGTTCGCCTCAAGAGCTTCGACGTTGGCTAGTAGTCTTTGATGATAAGTGACACTTACGTCGTCCTTACTTTCTTTCCATTGATGGTAAGACAAATAGCGCACGCTGTCCATATTTCACACTAAAACAAGCTTGGCAAAAACAAAACATGAGTATACGACGATAAAGCAGAATCGGAAACCCGCAGTTTCTTCCGATCGCAACATAGGCGTTCAACGAAGTTCTCACTTCCTTCAAACATCTGAGTTATTATGAACACGCGAGGTTTCAGCGGAGTGAATATGCACATGCGTAGTTCTTTCCAAGAGGAATATGGCGGTGGTCTCTACAGAAGTGAAGGCATGGTGTATCCAAGAATTGTTGAAAATTAGAGACGTCGACGACGATTTGACGGGGTATATTTTGTCACTGAATACTGCTAGTGAATTAGAATCATATTTGCGAAGTTTTCTAGATCTCAAGAATCGCGAACATCAGCAAATTCTGGTGGAATTTTCCAATGTAGTGAGGACGGAAACTACGAACACCTCAGATGCTAGCGATACTTTTTCTTACTCCCAAAAATGTTCAGGTGAACTTGGTAATGGGTTAAATGATCCACCTATTTATCCAGGAATACAAACAAAGAAGAAAGCCCCTAAGTTTGTGCCACTGTATGGGGCAGAGGGACAATCGCGCACTTCGGTTCTCCTTCCCGGAAGACACCCATGCGAGTGCTTGGCTCAGAAACACGATCTGGTCAATAACTGCACAGATTGTGGACGGATTGTCTGTAAACAGGAAGGCTCAGGGCCTTGCTTTTTCTGTGGAGCTTTGGTTTGCACTAAAGAAGAGCAAGAGATACTGGCGCGGAATTCAAAAAAGAGTCACAAACTCCACGAGAAACTACTGAAGCAAGGGATAGAAAACGACTCACGTACAAAATTAGGCGAAGGCCTACAAAGAGCAATTGCTCATAAGAACAGACTCATAGAGTATGACAAGAGTGGTGTCCGTCGTACCAAAGTGATTGATGATGAGTGTGATTACTTTGCTAGTGACACCAATAAGTGGCTGTCTCAAGAGGAGAGGGAAGTTTTAAAGAAGAAAGAAAACGAAGTGCGGGAAAAGCGTTATGGTTCACGCAGGCAGATGAAGGTTACCCTTGACTTTGCAGGTCGAAAGGTTGTTGATGAGAATGAACCTGAGGTTGATTTTGATGCTGATTCATCCGTTCTTGCTTCAGGTTATTATAATTTGGATAAAAATACCAAACCACCAAGAGTTGCTAATCTTAATTTTCCAAATGTCTCTTCTTTAAAATTTGTTTCCTCTGAGAAAGGAGGTAACAAAGCACCTAACTATGAAGGTGTTTTGGAGAAAAAACATGGTAAAGAAGTTTTACGTATCCAGGATAAGGAATTCCAAGAGATGAGTGATACAGGTGCTTGCTTAAGTATGCATCAGCCTTGGGCATCACTCCTTGTGTTGGGTATCAAGAGAGTAGAAGGCCGCACATGGTACAGTGCTCATCGTGGACGTCTATGGATTGCAGCAGCTGCTAAGCAGCCAACTCAACAGGAAATTGCAGCAGTGGAGAGTATGTACAAGACTCTGTATGGGAATGAAAATGTTGTATTCCCTGAGCATTACCCTGTATCATGTCTACTTGGGTGCGTAGATCTCGTGGAATGTCTTGCCCAAGAAGATTACAAGGAAGAGTTCCCTGAGGGCGAGTCTGAATCTCCTTATGTCTTTATCTGTGAGAATCCTCAGCAACTGGCTTTAAAATTTCCTGTAAAGGGACAGCATAAAATATGGAAACTTGACCTTGCAATCCACAAGGCAGCCAAGGGAGGCCTTAGAAAATCAGCTTGAAAGAACATCTAAAAGTATCCATGTCATAATCTTGATACAAGTAATGCAATGAACTTAGGACTAATAGTTGAATGGTGTTGGTATAGTGAGCAATTAAGAATATTCTTAAAGAACACTTCTGTTAGTAGAAGTGACAAATTGATAACTGAATGGGAAGTCATAATCTGTGTCCAGTAATAAAACAAGTGATGACATCACAAAAGTCACCTTAACTCTGATAATGATTACTAGTCAGGTTGTCAATGAAATGTCATTCACTGTTAACTGCCATAGTAATTTCCAGGGTCAGGTTGTTCAAATCTGGGTTAAAATAATGCAGGGTTAGTTTGAAATTTGATTTCAGATCTGAAAGTTTGAAAAGAAAATTCAATTTAATTCTTTTTGTCTACAGTTTGATAAAAGGCTTTTGAATATAGAAATAAAGAAACCTAAATCAAAATTGAACCCAGGGTAAGTGCTAATGCACCTTCAAACATTCTGGAGTACTTTCACCAAAATGATTAGACTGCACAATGTGGAGTATTTTATTTATCTGTTTGTGGTCATGCCTACTTCAGGGTTAGGATCAACAAACATTGACCAAAATTACTGGTATCATATTAGAGCAAAGATTACCAAATTAAAGATCAAACTTGATTCACTCATCTAATGTCACTTAGAATGTATTTTGTTGAATTCATGTCATAGTTGAAGTTAGTGGCGTTTTAGTTAAAAAAAAATTATTTAGTTTCTCCTTTCCCTGTCCTATTTGACAATTGCAGGTTAAATTTTAATTACTGTTTGGGTAATCTAAATGCAACAGAAAGTATATTGTTAAAGAGAAGTGTAAACAATACTGCATCAAGTTGGTGTTAAAGGTTGCGTAAGGTTGAAATATTACTGTATTTCTTCATTTCTATCTGGTGGATTCATGCACACCAAATTGAGAATTATTTTTTATTAAATCATTTGGTAGATCTGTTACCACCTTGTAACTGGTAGATGCTAATTAAATTAATAAAAACAGTTTGTTTCTTGTTTGAGGAATTATCACAATGAAAGAGATGATTAAAGACTGTTGAAAGAATTGTTTCTTTTTGTAATTGATTATTAACAAGAAACAGGGTCACACATTTTTTTAAAGCATTGATCAAAAGAAAGGAAAAGAAGCTTAGACCTTGTGATTTCCAGGGAGGAATGAGATTTTTTCTGTGGCTCACATTTCTTAAAATGTCATAAAACATTTCTATCTTTAACAGTCAAACAGGAAAATCATAATTTACCACCTTTATTTATCTGTGAATACTGTAGCCATTGCAGGTGGTACCGGTTGTCATATGGTACATATGCATGTGCCTTTCTTCAAGGTGGATATTCTATGAGTTGCATGGTTACCCAAGAATTGACCATGATGGATGAATGATGACTTTATCTATACATGCTCAAAAAAATTAGTAAGGAAAACATGTTTGAAACTCACGGCCTCTACTTGTTTCTCTATTTTTCAATCAGGGAAACTGTTCAGAAGACCATTTATTACTATACCCATTCACTTGCCAATTAATTTTCCCTTTGTTTAGCCCCTCAAAGTTGTCCCAAACAAGCAGGATTTGTACAACGTGTCAAAGCTTGAACTTGCGACCAAGTGGCACATGATTTAGCAAAGTTGAGGTCTGCTGTTGCAACTTGCAAGTTGTAAAATAATGGAATGAACAAGCCATTTAAGCCCTGGTACAGTAAGAGCCAAAATGCAACTAGTTGCCAGCTCAGAGAAACTTGAGGATTTATTGATAAGTATCTTTGCACAAGTGTAGATGGCACATCCCTCAACCCTCCAAAAAAATGGCTCCAAGTTTGCCTTCTGTTTGAATTTTTTTGCTAGATACTCCAAGATAACAGTTCAAGTTATTAAAGCTACCGGTATTAAAAAAAGTTTAGTGCAGAAAAAAAAATTAGCCAAAGCCAAAACATATATTTTTTTTACTTCGACATCCAGTCTATCCTTTCATTTGCAACAAGATTGCTCTGTTCTCCTTATATAACATGACATGACGTCTAGCCATGGTCGTACTTGACGAGCTCTTCATACTGCTCAATACAACTTTAAAGTTAAAGAAAAAGAGACAACAGCTAGCAACACGTTTCCACTTTAGTGCACCTTTATTACACCTGGACAGTCTGCCAACTGAGGCATAACGAAACGGGAGAAACGCACAATAGGTAAATATACTTACCGGTATATTGAAATAATACACATATCTACATTTCTGAACATAGATCTACTCTCTTTCGCAGCCAGAGGTCATGGGTTCAACTCTCGTACTGGCCTGAATCAGTTTTTTCAGACTCTATCTTTACTAATTCTTAAGAAGTGTTTATTACAGCAAAGCTCATTCACATATTCATTTATTAATCCGCAGTTCCCATATACGATTTTATTATATTCATAGTCATATTTGTGCTTACTGTTGATCGTAGACGTCAGCAACCAAACGTGCTAGCAAGATGGCTCGATATATATTGCTCAAGATCTCTAGTTGTGTTTCACGGACAGAGACAAAGTCGTAGACCATAATAAGGCACCAAAAAAAAAGCAAGCTTGGTCAAGAGAGCAATCGTGTGAGGGCAACCTGAGGTACGGTTAAAAACACAGATTCGCTTTATCCTACTCGCTCGCGGAGCAAGCTGTGTATCAAACTTTGTCGCGATTCAAAATGATTTTGTGACAAACTTGTAATCTAAAGAAGGGCTCTGAACTCCCTCTATCATTTACAATCTCCCTATCTACATCAGTCATTAAATATTTATTTTCTGCATCATTTAAGGTTTTTCTGGGAAATCTCCTTATAATTCTTTGTAAAAACTATTTGGTTCCCAGCTTAAAGTTTTAATCGGTTGATATCCTCACTTCTGAAATCGACCCTGTGAAAAAATAAACACATGAATAAGTTCTAATGGAAAGACTAATCAAATGCCATGAACCCCTCTTTTCCCGCTCCACCCCACAAGACCTTCCTCGCTGTAAAGTGTACAATTCATCCTAACAATACCTTGTCGATGGATTTTCCATTTTCTAACATTGTGAAAAGGACAACAAGAAAAGAAAGCCGAAAGACCAATAGCGAGGCGTAACTAACAGTGGAACAAACACTGAAGAAAAGATGGGAATGTTCAAAGACCTTCTAATTTCTCTCTTCTTAGATAATAGCCCAAAGTGCGAACAACATAAGGACTGAAGTGGACTTTAAGAACGCAAAGGCAGGGGAGGGTAAGCATTTTATCTTTCCCGGTTCATGGTCACTCTCTCACTCCACACTTGTTCTTGCACGCTCGCTTTGCGCTTAATGTCAGTCGCTTCCGCTCTAGAGTTCCCCTCATAATGGCAAAAAACGGAAAAAATGGAAGTCGAACTTTCAGTTACTACGCTATAGCCACAGTAGCCAAAGTGTACTCTCCTGTCCCAACAATTTTACTTGCAGCAGCCTTTTCGTTTTACTTCAACAAAGACCCCTATTTTCGCATTTGGTAAGGGGACACCTCCAGTTATGAAAACATGCGCTGCTCTCCGAGCTTATCAAAGCATAATCTGGAAGAAAAAGGATTGAGGGAATCAGAATATAGTAGTTCACCTTAATGACAGGACTTGTCTGACTTCCGTAGGAGTAAGTCTCCAAGTCATTGGTCCTGAATTAGGACCCCAGTAATCCATAATCTCGCCCACCTGTTAAACAGAAAATAGAGGACTGTAAGGGAAAAATCGCTTCTTCATCGACCAGATTATACTTAAATAATTTTTACAGAAATGCAAATTCGAGCAGTTGAGAGTTTTGATTGTTGATAGGACTGTTTATTTGCATTGTTAATAAACGCTTGGACAATTTCCAGACATTTCTGTAGCATTGAAAGCCTCATGGCTCATCAGAGCAGTGAATGGTCGAAAGACACTTTGAGCATGCTCAAAGTCTGAATGTTTCTGCCTTCCAAGCTATAAATATGTAAGCTCACAGTTTTTCTGTGCGCAAATAAATGCATAAGCATACTTTCGTGCTAAATGGTGGCTATTGTTTACAGAATCACGATTACCTTCTCTAAGTTGAGGACAGTGGCAATCTGTGTGAGTCTGGCAAACTTGTCTCGTATGGTCCACTGAGTAACAGCTGTCAGGTAACCGACCAGCGAACGTAGTTCCTTGTCGAACTGAAGACCACCCAGCTGATTTGAAACAATGAAATAGAGGATCAGATTCATTTAATGGATGTTGAAGTCAATAAGAGTTAGTAACGCATCTTGTAATATTTATCTCTTTTAAAGTACAATTCATTCTCCAAAACTGTCATGTATCTTGAGACAAAGCTACCGTCAAGTACACGTCAAGTTCAAATTTGCGCCCACTGTTCCTTGCCCCGTATAAATTCAGTTGACAACGGGTGACAGATCACTCCAACAAGTTGCGGGACAAAATGTTATAAGAAGAAGGCAAAATCACTTAAAATTACAGCTGCACATTCCAATTGCCATCTATACATTGACTAGGCTCAGCCTCTAGCCGTTGAAGTTTCGCTGTGCGATGAGGATCGCGGGCACACCAAAACCACCAGCAACTAGAGATAAGGCCTGTCTATTGACTGCAAAACTTACTCTGTTAAAACTCGCTTTCATGACCGAGGTTTCCAGTTGAGTTGTTATTTCAGTGGCTGCCATGCTTACTAAAGAGTCATAGTTGGAAGGTGTCAGTGGAACCTGCGTAACAAAATGGCATATTGGTTTATAATTTCCCTATCGTAGCTCAAGCGTTTTTCACGTGCGAGGTATTCAGCGGCCTGACGGTTAGCCTCTCTACAACCAAAAGGGTACCAGGGAACTGGGAGAGAAACTTGACGGGGGTGGGGGCGGGGAGAGGTGAGTAATCTGTGATGGACTAACATACCATCAATGAAAAAAGGAATACACCGGGTCAGTTCATGCGAGTGAAACCAAGATAAATTCAGACTAAGTGGATCACTCTGTTCGTTTTCTTAATTCACCTTTTCCGTTACCCAAAGAGTTTCATGTACTAACGTACAATCAGTAATAACGAAAGATCATGACAATAACAACTCTTAAGTTTGACATTTTACGGCAGTGTGATTAAAACCACAAGCTCTAATCAACACATAGAGACGTTATTTTGGCCGCTGTTATGATGTAAACCTTCCTCTAAATAAAAACCAGCCAAAGAATGGCAAAACTTCTCACCACACAAGTTGAGAAAGACAAAGAGAAAAAGAATTGAATGGGTTAATTTTATGGTTTAAATGATTGTATTAGCCATGATTACCTTTGGAACTAACACACACAAATAACCAACATCTTCTTGCAGACTTCATTGTTACTCAAAGATCTGTAAGCTAACGGGGCCGCTCGTCAAGCGGTGCAGACATACCTTAAAAGATGTTAAGATCGAGTCTAAACTTGTGATAAAATTCTGAACAAATGGATCATTCACTTCATAGAAAGCAAATTCCTCCTGCATTGAAAAAAGAAATAATAATAATAATAATAATAATAAAACAAGAGTTCAACAGACAAAGCAGAAATTCGTAAACGTCATGTACCATAACTTAGTTGTTTTAGCTGATAACTGGAGCGTTGGATAAAGCGTCTGAGAACATCTTTGAGCGGATTAGCAATTCCTATATGGTTCATCCACCGTAATTAACTTAACTTTCAGTGGCTATTCAAAGAAGTCAGTCAATGAAAAGTTTTATATAGTCACACTTGTCCCAGACTGAGCAACCCCTTACCTCTCGACAGGAGACACAGAAACTAAAACTTTACAGAGACAGACCTTTTAAATAAAACTTGACGTAATGTTAGTAACCCTGCCCCCTTACTTCGCACAGGGTAACCAAACACTGTGAAACGAAAGTATAGTTAGTGAACTTAACCTAATATATATAGAGAGAGGTCTGGGTTCGAGCCGTAACTGGTTCTTTACATTTTGTTGTTGGGCAAGATCGTTACTTTCACAGTGCCTCTGTTTACCTCTCTGACTGTTTTGGTAAATGATCGCGGACGTTAGATAAAATTACTAATTGGATCTTTGAAAGCGACACAAGTTAAGAAACAAAAGAAAAATATAGCTGACAAGTGAATTAATTTTTAATTGAATTCGAGGGAAATGATTACCTCAGATATGTTGTGGCTTGTTGAATTGAATCCATCGATGAGGGGTTTTAATCTTGGTATGACAGCAGTAGAACATAACTGATATAGTCCACCCTGCAAATCATACAAATGGTAAAAAAAATTTTTAAAGGATATGTTATTAACCAATGATGATAGATGTAAAGAGAATATTTAACCCCACGGACAAGATAGTAAAAGAAAACTTCCATACTTGAAGTAAATCCTTGAAAATATTTGATGTGTTCATCAAGTCTGAAAGACAGCTCTGAGAAGATAAGAAAAAACATAATTAGAAAATTGCAAAGTTTTTTTTATTTATTTAAAGTCCAATAAGTCATAGCAGGAGTTTTGTTGATGGATAAGATTGAAACCCTTCTTTCTTCTAATAGTCCTTTCATCTAAAACACTATATCAAGTTGCAGTTTTATATGCCTTATGAAGACAGTCGATTATAGTCCAAGTCAAGAATGGTAAAAAAAACTTGAGCACTTGCCTCTAATTTCAGTTTAGCAGCATCTCCAAAAGCCAAGTTCCTGTCACATTCAATCTGGGAAGCAAATTGTTTGGAAACACTTAAAATCAATCCATGACGCTTCAACGCAACAAGATGAAAGTAAATTGGATGTGTTGCCTGTGGCACTGGTCTCATGGTCTGTGGAATAGACCGGGTCGAGAGGTCTGGGTTCGAGACCAGGCTGGGTCAACGTGTTGTGTTCTTAGGCAAAACACTTTACTCTCACAGGAGTATACATGGGTACTGGCTAACTGTCAGGAAAGCCTGGTAACATCCCATCGAGGGGGAAGTGATAACACTCCTACTATGGAAACCGGGATAAGGCTTGAGTAGAGACTACTTTTTGTTGGCATGCCGATCGCCGGTCCTTCGTGGTCCCTCTCTCCACCCCAGCAAGTATATCAGGTTATCCTTAAATTTAAAAGAACTGTTTGTAGTAATGTGGAGTATGAACACAAAAGGAACAGTAATAAATGCGTCATAAGCTTTTTTTATCTCAGGGTAGCTCAATATAGGCCAAATTCCTGTTTCCAAGACCGAGATAAAAATGAAGTCCATAACAATGCATAAAAAACGAGGCAAACATTCCATCATCTTGACAAAACAAGCTTACATCAAAACGGGCACAACCGAGAGGGCTGTATTTGCTTGGGTCACAGGATTCGCTTCATTCAGCCAACTCGTCACAAAATAATATATATAAAAGTTTGGAATTTTGAATCTTGCGTCCATATCATCAGCACTATCTGATATACAATAGAGTAAATTCTAAGCTCTCGACGACGATGACAACATTCAATAGATGACCATTACCATTATACATTTCAGTCATTATTTACCTCAAGATCTTTCTTTAGCTTCTGAATGTTGTTGCTGCTAACTTCAAGGTTGTTAAGTGTCACCTGAAATTCAGCATAAAATATTTGTTAGCGGCTTTAGTCTTAGGAGAAGGGATGAATTCATACGTCCACTGCTCACAGCCTCACTTGGAGAAAAACACTCATTGTTAAGAAATAGCAATGTCTGTATAGAAAAGAAAGACTCATTTTTGCCTAGCACGTGGAACAAAGAAAAAACTTTAAGGCCCGCCCTGAGGAATGGAGTTTAGGTCCTTTTGATTTGGCCTTACGAAGAAGAGCCAGGCCATCGCATGCTAATGCTAAATTCATATTTGATGAGCGTCCTACATACTGCTAGAATCAGCAAATATTAATTCAAAAGAGTCTAATTCTGACATAAAATTTATTGTGATGGGGAGATAATATTACAAGACTAAAACATGATTGACAGAGGATGATTGTAGCGTTACTCTTACAAGGAAAGCCTTCCGGGCAGCTGCATTTTCAGCCGTTGTGGAGTAGCCCACTTGCAGCTTTCCTTGCAACATTCCAGATAAATCAAGACTGGAATACAAAAGAACAATTATCAGTATAAGGACATCTTAGAATACTCCTTTGTGGAACTCGAATTTCTGTAAAGCAATAAGAAAATCAATTTTGTGTTACTGCACCAACACACTTTGAATATTTAGAGTCTTAGAAAACTTGATGGTAAGAACAAATCTAAGCCATGAAAAATTCTACAACCATTACAAAATTTACACAAGGAATTTTTTGAAGATATCAAAAGCAACTCTCTACATAGTTGCATTGATTACATCAATTGGAATGTAAAAAAAGTAAAGATCACAAGTTTGTGAATTTGAGGATTTGAAAATTTTGACCAGTTTGAATTGCTTGATATAAATTACAATGATCCAACCCTAAAAATTGTAACAATAGAACAACATAAAAATAAAGAGATCACACAGTACGATTGCAGCATTGCTATATCTATAACGTTATTATGCTTTCATAGAGGAACTATAAATACCTTCCAGATGGAAAACCTGCTTTTAATCGGGCAGTTAGCACATCACGGTAATCAGATGACAGAAGAGCACTAGAGAAATTAAAGATAGTTGATATGGAAATTCTTAATTGAGTCAAACAATAAGAGATGATAAGTCAAAAAAACGATATAATTTTAAATTCATCTCCCAGAGGTGATTAACATGTAACTTCTCCCTATAATATCCAAACATTAGCTAGCAAACAGGTATTGAGAATTCTCAAATTTATCAGGTAGAAGTTGCTATCTTGATCTAACACAAAATCCCTATAAGTACTTTATAGGAAAATGTATAGTAGCAAGAGGGTAGAATTAACAATCAGATCTTGGGAGTTAAAGAGTTAAAACTGGACTCTGCAAACTGGCCTACAACACATAACCACACGCTGCAGTTCTTGTACTGCTGCTCCTCAAAAATGCCTTCTGATACAGCTAGTAGTTATCAAAACAGAGCGACAAGAGATGGAAAAGAAAAAAGTGACACTTTGATTCGTCATTGCTACGTGGCCAGGTTGCTGAGCAAGATTAAAATGACCACGTCCATAGTCAAATTTTAAGCACATTTGAATGAAAATTTTTGATAAGTTAGGTTTTTTCTCAGGAATCTTAAGAAAGTGTTGGAATAAAAAATTGATTTCTGGAGCACCCTTTCACAATTAAGTTCATTACCATGCATGATTCAGCATTGCACATGTTCCATCCACACTAGAGCTGGATAAGGCTCGTCTGAATGAATGAAAGCAATAACACAGAAAGTAGATAATCAACCCTCTAAAAACTTAAAAGTTTCTCCTAAATTAAGTGGTCCACGAGACCAGAGCTTACCCTAACATAAAGTGACACGGAATATTGTTATAGATGTTGGCATGTTTTGCATTGCAGATTAACACAAATTTTTCAGGTATCCCTTATCAAACTTAGCCTTAGTTCTTTAATACTCAATAAAAAACAACATCATTCAATAAATAACGAGCTGTTAAATCAATAATAAAAAAAAAACACACAGGATGCTCCAAAGACATCTTAATACTGGTCTTTCACTATCCATAAAATAATTCATGAAAACTATTTACAGCTTGAAATCACACATTGTAAAAAGACCTTTTGGAAGTTAATATTTAGGATTATAACCAGAAACAAACCTAACAGCCTTTTGTACGATAAAGAAGACATCATCCACCATGCTGGAAGTGACAGCTTCATCATCACCACCCTCTGTGATGTCCATCTTTACAGCCTAAAAATTACAACTTGAATTAACAAAAACACAAAACATAACACTAATAACCATCACAACTCCAAAACCAGGACAAACGTTTTTCCAGAAATATTGCAAAACCAGTATGTTTAAATTTTTAATTTCAGCAGCAACACAAGACTAACTTTCATCACTGTTTCTCTCATAAAGTACTCTTCCATGTAGATGTAGTTTCCTATCAGCTCCTGCAAAATAAGAAAATCATTTGAAGAATTTATGAGCCAATAGGAAACTAAGTACTAAACAGAAAATCAGAGGTGTGATCTAGGGAAGAGAGGCTTTTCATATGTGTGGAGACATAGTAATGAAGACTCTGACGACTCAGTTTTGAAACCACTCTTTCATCTTTTCGTAGCAACCTAGAGATCTGTACCCCAGGGTGAAAACAAGCATCATGAAGATAATGGTCATAACCCAAATCTGAATAACTTGGTAAAAAAATGTGATGTATATAACAACACTAAAAAAATGTAAATTCAGGTTTCCATTAATAATTTTTTTAGTGTATTTCAAAGAAGTTAGATAGAAAGATTGCTCCTGTGTTACCTGCATTCTTCTGTTTAGTTCACAATTGGCAATAACTTTGTCTTGAATTCCTAATAGTTCTTACAGAGAGAATCAAAAGCCTCTATCATGATGATAACCTTAGTAATGTAAATGCTACACTGTATATATAGAGGAATGCCACAATGAAAAAAGAGTTCAAAATGTAATTAATATGATGTATTTTTCAGTTTCTTAACCTCAGTACGTATATAATTTTGTATGATCATTAAATTAAAAAGGAAAATACTAGACAACTGAAAGAAAAGAGAATTAATAGAAAAAGGAATAAAGGGAAGAGGGGAAAAACCAAATAAATGCTATCAATCCCAAAATCTCATTTATTTAGTAATTCTCCTTACTGTCTGTCCTACAATTCTTATGATGCTAATTCAGAGAATTTAGTATTGGATCAACTAATTATCCCCTAGCTGGTACTTTTCTCATTTTCATCATTGTCTACTTAATATTGTATAGATGTTGTAAGGAGAAATTCTGTCTTGGTCACTCATGGGAGTTAAGGGTTGTAAGCAAAGAGAGAAACAAACACATCTCCCATGATACCTGTAAATTTCTAACACAGACTACATACTTTTAACTTACAGCTAAGTTAGAGGTGACAAAAACACAATTGTACTTTGTGTAAAACTTATCTGTACTGTTACCTTCTGTTTTTTCCTCTTCAGGAACATTTGCCATGTCATCCTATAATAAAAAAGGTTTTGAAGATCAAAGACAAAACATAATTTAGATTTAAAAATCATCAATCATTTCAACAATGTTATAGGAACTTTTTGCATGTGGCAAAAATGGCAGAAAGAACTGTGAGAAATTAGAAGAGTACAAATTCTTACTGTGATCCTTTTCTCCAAGAACTGTAAATACATTTCAGCTCTTGCATTCATCACAACAACTTCACGCAAGACAACATCAAGCTCTCTGGGGTCATACCTAAGAAACACAACAAGGTTATGAACACTTTGTTCATGTTTCATTAAAACAGCTACTAAACAAACCATTGATAATTCCACACTGTTCCCTTTACTTATGGTGCCAACAAGAATATTTTGTTTGACAATCAGGAGCTTCTTAACTTGGTGATCATTTCCTTTATTCTCATAACCTTTGCATTTAATTTAAGGATGATGAAGTAAGGAGAAATGAGAAGCTAGACACTCCTAGGGCTTAAAGGATTAAGCAAGTCCAAAATTAACTTATTCTGTTTCTAATATCCATAAATTACTTAGAGCCTATCTCCATGACGAGAAATTATTTCCTAACCTTGGCAGACACACAGCAGGGACATAATATATTTTTCAATATCCTTGTCAACTAGATCCAAATTATAAGTAATGGATCCTCTTTTTTCCTCCAATTATTGACCCAAGTACATCAAGAATGCCACTTCTAAGTCTGCTTCACCTCATGATAATTATTTCTAGTCATTAAAAAGCTGATGCAAACTTACCTATCAAGGTTACCAGAAGAACCTCTGAAGGTTTGACTGCCCTGAACAGATTTGAACTAAAGACAAGAAGAGTGAAATTCTTATGCACACAAGGCACTTCATGCAGGTTCTTCAGTCTGCATTTGTCACAATAATTATATGTACTCATTCTGTTAGATCTGCCAATGTTTCACTACAAGTGTAGATACATTGGCCTTCTGTGCTGGATACATTGTTCTTTGTCAACAAACTAGATACTATACAGATCAAGAAAAAATGTTGAAGGAGATTGAAATTTTCAAAAAAGCACAAAGAATGAGCTGCACACCATGTGATTCTAATGCAATTGTAATTGTTCTTAAATCTGCCCCTCATGCAATTTTATGAGTTTGCTTGAAAACAAGTATAAGGAATTTTCATAACAGAAGCATATAACCTAGATCATCAGATTCTAGGAAAAATTTATTGAAATAAAATTCTTCCATTTTATGGGTACCTTTTCTGTGAACTGTCTCTTTTTCATAAACTGGTCAACAACTTGATTAACTTGCTTGTCACACTCAGCCTATGTGGAAGTATTCATAAAAAAAAGCGCTGCATTTAATTAACAAAATAATTTAATGGTACTGTATCACAATGATCATCATCCATAATCCTTGACAACATTCTCAGCTGAGAATACCTCTGACAAAACAGATGAAAATACAATTACTGAAAAAAAAAAAACTCTGGGGCTTACAGTAACACCCCCCCTCCTCTCCCCTTTGCATTGCTGATAAGACTCTTGGGAGCATTCAGAAAAGCCACAGTTGGTTTCAATATTGGTTAGTAAGGGGGATTGGGGGCCTTGGAATCCTCTATTAGTAAATCATTTTCTACAATTTATAAAGCAGATATTGCTTACAAGCAATTGGGCATGATATTGTGTCCAAACAGCTTCTGACCAGAATTGTAAGCTGTTAGCAGATATTTCTAGCAAAAGGATTACATCAATTCCAGTCTAGTCTTACCAAAAGAGCTTTGAAAATGTCTAATGCAAACTAAATCCATAAAATTTATTTTTGAAGGGGGAAGGAAGGGGCCACATCATTCTTTGTTGGATTCAGTTTCTGAGAAATTAACATTAAAAAAAAAAAAAAGAAAAAGAAAATGTCCACTCCTAAGCATTTTACTGAGCTGAGGGAAACTTTTAAAGAGGCAATGATGTAAGCAGCTCTGGATAGAGAAAATAAACACTGACTACAAATTCCAGCATTGCCTTTAAATAGTGTAAGTCCAGAAGAAATAGAAATATAAAATTAAATTGATCAAAAATCTAAATATAAGTGGACAATGAACCATGTACCTGCATAGCTTGTAGCAGAATGAACATTTTGCCAGGACCTGCCAAAAGAGATAATTAAATTGGTGAATTTACAGTGTGGCCCAGAAAGAAGGAAAATTTTGGCAAAACAGTCTCTCCACTGAGTTAATGGTAAATCTCATATCTGGTAGGTACAACCAGCTTGTGGCTATATCATGTAAAAGCTCAAGTACACATTCCCACAAAGGAGGAGCATCCAAAAGGCTTTTAGAAGTAACTTAAATTAAAGTTGCCACAGGGCAGCCTCACCATAGTAAGTCTCTACAAATGGCTGATGTTCTTCCACCATACGTGCAATGTTCTCAAACAGTAAAGTGAGAGTATTTGCAAACACAACATTGACATGACGATCTAAAAAGAATTAAAGGAAAATATCTAAGTAATTAAGCTCTTCCATGTAAGAACTAATGATGGCTTTGGCCCAGCCTATGAAAATGTAAGCTACTACCAACAACAACAATCCTATTAAAGTCACAACACACATCTGGACAGTTATCATGCCAGAATAAATGTTACAGTCAGGCTCCAACTAAGGACTGAATACAACTGCACATCAAAAAGCTTAGAGCTATTTAAAAGTACAACAATACCATTATAACCAAGGTACAGTACTTCATAGTATAACCTATATGTAAGTTAGGATAAATAAAGAAAATGTTACATGAAAAGAAAAATTACCTTGTTATTAAAGATTATTAGAAACAACATTCTCACCTGAGTCTTTGACAGCAACAGCATTGTCCAAATTCTTCTGGCACTGGGCAGCAATCTAAAGCAGGAAAAAGATTTCACATCTTTTTATTGAAAACAACTTTAGGTCAAAGTTATTTCAAACTTGCTGGTAATTTCCTATCTTTAAAGACTACAGCTATTATTCTAAAACAAAGGAGAAAACACCTCACACTAGTTTAGGGCCATTTTGATTAGTCTACATACTTAATATACTCACTGTGTATATTTTCATTTTTATTTTAATCAAAAGTTGCATGCATCAGACATAGATCATTTCAGCAATAGGGTCTACCATTAAGACAATGATGGCTGATTTCATTCTATAACATATATCAAACACATTTAGAAGCTGGTTATCCAAGAATCCTGACTCTCAAAAAGCCCTAAAATTATAAAATATTTGATTCCCCTTTGATAGACTAAGATGTAAGAGGTTGAATAAACAGGGAGAAACTACATCTCCCTCATGTTTTTTTTTTGCCTTGTTGTACTTATTTCACTTATACTAATTTTTGTTATAAGGATACCTTGCTTTTATTTAACAGTAACAAAGCTAGTTCAACTGATCTGTTGTTTTGATCCACTATAATCATACAATGACCATTCATTCTTACATGTAAGCCTACTAAGCCTATTTTTCTGAGTATCCAAGAAGTAACTATACACAGACAAACCTGAGTGCACAAATATCTTGCATACTTTTCAAGTCCAACTTGGTGTTGACCCAGTAAAGGAAAAATTTTGAAAAACCTTGAAAAAAGATTAATCATGATCAGAATGCATTTTTAGTCAATTTAGATATTACTTGGCTTTCAACCAAGTCTCACAAAAACACAATAATTATACAGAAATACTGATGAAAACTACCAGATACAAAGACACAAAATTTACATCAAATTAACAAAATAATAATCATGGCAGCAGAACAAACAAGTGTATCCAAAGCAGAAAAACATGGCGACAAACTACAATGCCATACAATATAATGCATGTCTTCTGTACCTTTCTACAGAGCCCCTGTCACCATTTTGTATAGCAGCCTCAAACTTGTCATTTACAATTCTTTTCAGTTTTGTCTCTGCTTCATGTAGTAACACAAAGGCCCCTGCTAAGTCAGAACCTACAGGAAAATAAAATCACGAGCAAGTTATCAGCTATTGCTGCACAAAGATACCTGATGGAGGGCTGCAGGCTCAGTTAGGTTGTGTGAGAAGCATATACAGTAGGTTAATGTTTATTAATAGAAATGTCCTAACTATTGCTGTCATTTTCAAAACAAAATCTTAACTATTGAATTTATAAATACTAATCTACTTAAACATGTTGGACCTAACAGAAAATATTTGGCATGAGGTCAAGATATATGGACCAAGCAAGCAAGGTCCACATGTCATGACAGAGGGTCAAAAAAAGTTTCCAGTCCAGACCAACCTGACTCTGTCAGTCACTGAGGCCTGACTGGATCACTGTGTTGTGTTCTCAGGCAAGACACAAAACTCTACAAACACAAACCTCTACTTTTACAGTTACTGTAGTTTATTGATTCCAGCAAATTAAACAGCCAGGCAAACCTGACAAAAGTTTAGAGATCCCCTATCATCCCCTTTAGGGGAAATAACACTGTTGCTGCTTATTTCATACTTGATATGAACTCTTAAAAAGTTCCAGCAGTAACGATAAAAATGCAGCAATTATGGTACTACTTTCACCTTCTTTTGAGTCCTCTGCTAAGTCTCTGAGGACTTGTTCATCCAGGTTGAGATATCTGTGAATATGTGCTGCAGCCTGAAGAAACAAATCACTACACATTACACTGACTGCCAACAAAAATAGTTTAAGTCAGTATCACTGTAATGATAGTAATAATTTCTGATTAAGCATAAATCATTCTAAATATTTAAGTCACTTAATAACATCCTGATATTTACAACAGCAAGAACAATCTATAGTAGTTATTGTGGTGTGCCATTTCTTACTTCCAGAGAAAGATTTACTTAACATCAGTATCATAAGCCACTCTGGATGATAACACAGCTTAGTTGGATTTTAATTAGAGGTTTTTGCTTGCATAAATTAAATTCAAGCAGCCAAGACAAGAGATGCCTTACCTGCTCAAAGTGCTCTGTATTTAGCGCTGTTTGCACACCATCCACACAAGCCTACAAAGAGGAAAAAAGAAGATTTTAAAATAGTGAAACCTCTGGTATTGATCACTTTAGGGACAACTAAGCCCCTCATAACCATTGGATCAAAACAGAAACATGATTAGTCCAAGTTTTATACTCAAATATTGACTGTGGTTTAGAACACTTAAAAAGTGCAATATAGTATGGTTCATCCTTCACCTTTAAATCAAGGATGTCATCCACACGTTTTATTGTTTCTTGGACACGGTTCTGAAAGCAAAAGAAAAACATAACATCTTAGTAAGCCAGAAAAGCAGCAATGTATGTCATCAACAACTAATATACATTATAACCCATTCAAATATATAAATAAAATTTTTGTATACCAATTACAGTGATAAGTTATGACCAACCTTAACAAGATCCAGAAGTCGCACTTTACTGCTGACTTTTTCTGCCAAATCTGATGTATTCGAAATCATGGTATGTAAATGTTGGGCATCTCTCATTACCAACTGCAGGTTTGGACTAAAAATACATGACACACCACAAGGCATTAATTTCAATCAATAGTAGCTGTATTGTGCAGCCATCTGAAGGGATAAGTCAGGCATATATAATTAAAAATAATTTCTGCAATAATCATGAAAATTACAATTCCCTTGATTGTGATTGGTTTAAAAAAATCCTATTTTCCACTAATTCACATGCCAAGTTGTTAGCGAACAGTTTTTATCTGACAGTTTGTTATCGGACAGTTCAATGAGCCAATCACATTCAGAGTTATGGTTTAAATCAACATTCAATCAACATTAAACAATTTACGCCTCTTTTGTCAAGTCTTTAAATGCAAATTTTCCCTTTCTCTCAGAACTTGGCTATTCTTTTTTTTTTGGAAATTGTATTTATCATTAATTAATTGATTAAGACTTTGTGTCATCCAATTCAGTCTGTAATCATACTTGTGATAAACAAATTGAACTCCTGCTGCGTAGTCACTTGATTTTGTTCTCACTCATATCATTACAGACCAAATTAGGCTCCACACAATCCTATTACCATTACAAATTGGACTCCACTCAGTCCTATTACCATTATCAACAAAATAGCCCAATTTCAGATGCAAACCTCTGAATATTCAACAACTGGTATATGGAGATAGGAATACACATGATGACAACCCTACCTTGATAAGCAATTGCAGCTTTGTTATAATTATGGTTTGCACTACAAATATAGATGAAGCATTGGAACAAAAAAAAGGAGTCATGGATAGGCTGAATTAAAAAAGACCAGATCAGCATGTGATTGAGTAACCTTGAAAACAGTGGTCTAAATTTTTTCAAGTTAATCTTGATTTAAAAATTTTTTTTGGAATATTAGATGCTTTATAAATCATACTGTAATGCAGAAAATTAACCCTTTACACCCTTAAGAGTGACCAGCATCTAATTTCTTCTCACAACATCACCCCTGAATCAAACATTAAGGTCAAGAGAATAACGAAAATGATCACCAACTAAAGAATCTCTTGATTGTTAAACAAATTCTCCTTGTCAGCCCCTTGAGAAATGTATGGAGAAGAGTATGGAGAATATGAATACTGATGTTAGAGTGTAAAGGGTTAATACCATTCATCACTCACATTACATTCTGTAGCGTGTTAAGTTTTGTGTCAAGTCTTGGTTGGTTTTCCAGTATAGCATCCAGTTCATTGTTAAGTTTTTGCTAGTAACAAGAAACAGCAAAGCAAGTTAGAGTTTTAATTCCTCAAAACAAATTTGGAAAGATGAAGTATTTTCTAAGTTCACTTATAACCTGGGCCCAGTTGTTCAAAGGCCGATTAGCTCTAACCCAGGGTTAAATTTTAATCCAGCTTTCTTTATTTCTTTGTTCAAAAGTCTTTTTGGGAAAATTTTCACTATTCTTTTTAGAACATCAAATGATCAAGCAAAAAGATTTGAACTGAATTTTCTCTTAAAGTTTTCAGACCTGAAATCAAATTTCACACTAACCAGCTTTGAACAACCGGGGCCTGTATACAAAATATTAAACGAACCTTGGATTTGAATTATTGACCACTTTACCTATAATATTCAACCACTTGGTTTACAGTCAATTCACCACCACCAAACTCTCCACAGCTAACAGTCAAATCTCTACCAAATGCAATTTGACTGAGGCATTTTGTCTAGCCTCTCATATAAAACTTCCAAGTCTCTTTCCCTTTTTGCAATATACCGCTACACCTTAGCTTTCATTTGAAGTAAGTTTCATTCAACAGGCTACAGATAACAACTGAGTCACATCACCACCAATGGCGATTCGAATCTCTGTGTTGGGGAGGTTGGTGGTGGCAAGTTTGTTGTTGCAGTGACCAGATATCAACTGGTTTGTTTACCTTTAACTGTTTGAGGTTAAACCATTACGTTAAATATTTAAATTAAGCATTGTACCAGTTTTTTCGGTTCCTCTTCCTTTCATGCTTAGAATACTGTCGAGGATAACGAACTGCCACTGTTTCTGCTTGGCATCATGGTTCAATTTTCCATATAGTCGATAGGTCATTGAACCGCACTGAGCTAACATGAACTTACAGAGTTTTCCACGTTATTTTGACGGTGATTAGAACAGCAAGCAAGCTGTACATTTAGGAATATCTAATTTTACTTAATTTGAACCCGCACCAAGGATCCTCAATGGGTTCACCATACGTATAACCACATTACAGTCGACTGCCGAATCAAAGTGACACGTTGGCGACAGTTGCAAATTGAAAACATGGGAATTTTAAGGGTAAAGTTGCGACTCAATTGCAATATAAATCTTAAAAATTGTGCGTTTAATTTGTAATGTACCTCATGAAGATGGATTTGTGCGTAAGCTTTTTGTATTTCAGCGATATCTGTTAAGCTGTAAACATCCAATTCGTGGGCAGCCATCTTAGAAATTTTTAGCGCCAGCGATGACAGCGGATGTAACTGACGCCCAGAGTGCTTGAAATAAGAGTTGTGAAATATCCCTAGCAATCCAACATGGCGGCTGATCGTAACGAGGATAGCAAAGTTAAAGATGGTTCGGCAGTCTCTCAGAAGGTGCTATTTGTACGTAATCTACCCTTTTCTACAAAAGACCAAGATCTCGAAAATATATTCAGTGACGTTGGACCTATCAAACGTAGTTTTGTGATTCGAGACAAAGGTAAGATTAAGCTTCTCGCAGACTCGCACGTGGCATTGTCGTATGCATATCTAGCGTTTGAATATAAGCTCATCTTCACAAGAATAATCAACCGAATATCAATGTTTTAAGACTTACATATTTACATGTTCTCTTTCAGATGTCAAGAACTCCTGTAGAGGATTTGGTTACGTTACATTTGCGCTCGCCGAAGATGCACAAAGAGCTTTAGATATTGTGAAATCATTTGGAGGACGACAACTCAGTGTTTGCTTTGCAAATAAAAAACCCAAACATGAAAAGAGAAAAAGGGAACGGGAATTGCATCCTGAGGGTGACAATGATGACAGTCAAAGTGAGTTACGGTTATAAACGTAAAGCAAACATATAGTGCGGTTAAATAAAGGGGGCAAGTGTAGTGCTGCATCTGGGGAGGGGTGGGTGGTGGGTGTCACATGATAATTTGGTTTCATTTAATGATTTGATTATGTACCAATATATTTGCCATGACAAATAGTTTCTGAAGTTGACTTTCTGAGCACTAGCCCCTCTTGATAAAAAATTGACAAAGGGCTAGCACTCTCAAAGTCACCTTTAGCAACTCTTTACAGTGGCTAATTCACATTATCAGCTCAGTTGATAAAGCCCAAATTTTCAAATATTGCAGTTGGTTTTAATTTCTTTTTGCAATGCTCTTTCAAAATTAACCCCTAGCATCTTAACATCGGTAAGTCTATTCTCCATACTGTCCTCTTTGTTTGCTAAGATGCTGATCACTGGAAGAATTTGTTTAACAATCAAGGGCATCTAAAATTGTTGATAATTTCCTTCATGATCTTGATATGTGATTTGGGTGTGATATTTTAAGGAGAAATTAGAGGCTAGTCACTCTTAGGGGTCAAAAGGTTAACATGTTTTTGGTTGTGTTACATTTAGAGAACATTGAAGATGAGGGACTCAAAACAATGGCCTTGGATGAAAATGAAAATGAAACTCCACCCAAAAAGAAGTTGAAGAGCATTGATCAGGAGGAAAGCATGATTAAATCCCAGCGCAGAGAACCAAAAAATGATATGGGTAGAACAATTAAACTGACAAAACTTGCTGAAGGCCTTAATCAGAACCATATTAGAAAAAAATTTCGTAAGATTGGGCCTGTAGAAAAGGTTACATTCCCAGCAGAGGGACAGGATACATCAACTGCATTTGTCGTTTATCAGACCCATAAAGATGCCAGAGAAGCTGTAAGGAAACTCAGTGGAAAGATTTTTAAAGGCAATACTATTGGAGTTTCACTTCTCTCTAAAGAAGGGAAGACACCTAGCCAGAGGTCTTTAAAAAAATCCAAGCTCATTGTCAGAAATTTATCATTTAAGTGCAATGAAGAAGACCTCAGAAAGTTTTTCACACAGTTTGGCCAGATTTCTGATGTTCACATTCCAACCAAGATGGATGGAAAACGAAAGCGTCGGCTTGGTTTTGGGTTTGTACAGTTTTGTAATGTTTTTGAGGCTGCAAAGGCCATCAAAGAGACAAACATGAAGGAGATTGCTGGAAGACCTGTTGCTGTTGACTGGGCCCTGGCCAAATCTGACTATAAGGAGAAGAAAGGCATGGAAGGTCTGTAAATGTTCCTTTTTCATTTTACATGTATTTATTGGTGTGCATTTGCTATTAGGTAGATGTATAGATGTTTTAGTTGTGTTTCCTTGGTTTAAATTTTCTGTCCATTTTCCAGTTTCCCTGTTACAGTCATGTTGTGAATTCCATTGTAATTGTGCACCATGCTGCAGCAGAGGTGTTTACCAAGGAGATGGTATCAAAAAAAATATTAGACGGTTTTTGAAGTACTATGAGTTAATTTTCTGGTAGTATTAGCTTTCACAAAGCCCCAAAAAATAAGGCAGAGTGAGATGACAATAAGTGTCTTACAAACAAGCCTGTAGTTCCCAGGGAAATTGTGAATTAACCCTTTACTCCCAAGATCTGATTGTTAATTCTCCCCTCTAGCTGCTACATATTTCGTTGTAAATTAGTTATGAGAATTTGGTGTTAGATCAAAATGACAACTTCAGCCAGATAAGTTTGAGTATTCTCATTACCTGTTTGATGGACAATGTATGGATATTTTAGGGAGAAGTTACATATTGATGACCTCTGGGAGTTAAAGAGTCAATGCATCTTTGATCACCCTTAGAGCTCAAAATTAACCTAGGATGTCAAAGTTTGACGTTTATTTATCTTTGGTTTGCTTTCTACTTTCCAATTTTTGTTCGGTTATTTATTATTATAGCAAGGTGATATGTTGTTCTTTCCTTTGCTTTTAACGTAATTTTGTACGTCAAAGAAAAAGGCTCAAAATTTATTCAGTTCCCTAAAATATGCAGCAGTTTTTGACAGTTTCAGGCCATTGATTTTTTGTTCCTATTTCCATGAAATAGAAACACAGGCTGAAAAGACGAGAGGCACAGATGAGAACACAGATGATAACCAAGATGAAGACATCAGCGTTGATGTTTCTAACGATGACTCCGATGTTGAATCAGATGAAGAAAAATCTGGCAGCTCTGATACTGGAGACGATGAAGAGGAGGAGGAAAATGAAGTCAGCGATCAAGAACACGAACAGGAGGAAGAAGCCTCGAAAGCCAAGAAAACTAAGCAACCTTCAGATGTCAAAGAAGGCAAGACTTTATTCATCCGGAACATATCGTTTGACACTAGCGAGGAATCACTTTACGAATTGTTTGAACAATTTGGAGAGGTAGACTATTGTAAGATGGTTGAGGACAAAAGGACCGGTCACAGCCGTGGAATGGCGTTTGTGAAGTTTAAAACGGTTGAAGGCGCCGAAAAGTGTCTTGTGGAAGCAGACAAAGATGGATCCGGTAAGAATGTTGTGTAAACTTAAGAAAATGTCTTGTTTCAAAACTATCAACGTGTTTCGCCGATTTTCATCAGACCACATACATTGTTATAGGTTCAAGTCTCCCTAAAAGTAAAATTGCCGGTGAAATCCAAGTGAAATTCAGGTTTTCATTGTGAAACTGAGTGACTGAGAGTTTTGCTACTGCCCCCATTATTATTTTTTTCTCGTTTTACCCTCATTCAAATCTCTGGTGGGTTCTACGTTGTACCCGAGAATACTCTCGCTAATTTCTTGCTACGAGCACTACGAGCTACAGTGAAAGCTTGAGCTAGAGTTCAGCGCACGTGTATCAGCTCACCGCATCCCCCACTTTCATTTATTGTTCTCTGCGAATGATTATTCAAAGAGGAATGTTCTCAGCTATTCAAACATCTCTTTCTTATTCCGTTTTGAGATTCGTGAGTGTAACCTGAACTTTCGAAAATTGTCCTCAAATCTGCTAAAAACTCACCAATTGAATGGTGCTGCCATCTTTAAATTAGCTCCCTAACTTGGTTGCACACGCAAAATCACAACGTTAGGTTCAAAGACGGTTGTTCAGTGGTGTTCTTGCCACTGACACAAAACGTCAAAACACACTCAGAAAAAAAATTACATCAGGAGAGCACCAAGACATGACCAAAACGGAAATGGGACTGTTACGTCACGGGCATGCAGTCAGATTGCGGTGTAGATGCCCACAGTCGAATTTTTAGCGCATCAGCACAGTGGGAATGCAATCATTTAAGACTTTGCGATGCCATTGAACCGTTCTCTCGTTGTCGATTCCCTAGGCATTTCCTTGGACAATTTTAAACTGAATGTGACGAAAGCAGTAACGCGTGGAAAGGCGGCAGAACTAGCAAAGGAAAAGAAGCTGGACGGAACCAAGGATACAAGGGACAAACGTAATTTATACCTGGCTAAAGAAGGTTTAATTACACCAGGCTCAGAAGCTGCTCAGGGCTTGTCCAAAGCTGATTTAGTGAAGAGACAGAAAGCTGAAGCAGAGAAGAAAGCAAAGCTAGAAAATCCAAATAATTTCGTCTCAACAACCCGGTGAGTGTCTTTTTTTGATTGGCTGCAGTGCAGTGAACCCGCTTCCTATTCCATATTCCTTCTCGCTTATTATGGGGTATATGGGCTTTTCAGAATTTTGGGCGTTCGTTATTATGGATTTTCCATATATTTCCATGGTTTTTGTTTTGTTTGTTTTTATTTTGTGTTGTTGTTGTTGTTTATTTTATCACGAAATGCTGCGTAGTGTCGTTATTTCTTTAGCTGTGGTAAAATAAATTGAATGACTTACTGCAAGCACCGTTAAATATTCATCTTTTGTCTTTCCAGGCTTTGTGTTCGAAACCTGCCTCTAAATGTAGACGACAAGAAATTGCAAGAGATCTTCGGCACCGCCACAGGAAAGAGGATGCGCGTGAAGAAAGTGCTGATTATCCGGAGTAAAGATAGGTTAGACAGCACAGGCCGTGGACGTTCCATGGGATACGGATTCATAGAATTCACCAATCACAAAGACGCTCTTGCCGTCCTGAGAGTCACCAATAACAATCCCGCCATATTTGGACCGGATCGTCGACCAATTGTGGATTTCTCGATAGAAAATAGCCTCGTCCTCAAGGCGAAGCAGCGTCATGTAGAAAAGGCTCAGCACAAGCAGCAGCAGAGCGTCGACGAGCATGCGCGCGATGAACAACCCAAGACAAATAAGGAGAGAAGGCTGGAGCGAAATCAGAAGCGAAGAGAAAAACGAGTGAGAAAGAGAGAAGCGAGGAAGAAACGAAAATTGGAAGAGGGCAAGGACAGCGAAGGCGACAAAATAGCGCAGGAAAGAAACAAAGTTATTAAGGCAGTGAACAGTTCAAACTTATCCTCATCGAAAGCAAAGAAGTTTGAAAATTTGTCCAGAATGGACGTTACACAATCTGAGTCGAAGCGAGGTAAAAAGAATGTTGGAAGAAATAAACAATCTTCTTTGGTTCTTAGAAACAATTCTCGTACCAAAGTCACATCAGGTACCGCCCCAAATGTTAGTCCCTACCTTAAAATGGTAAATAGAGCTTCAAAAGAAAGACAAGACAGTGAATTTAAAGTGAGCAAAACCTCCGATGCCCCAAATAGAAAGAGGAAAGGCGCCCGGAAACGACAACAGGAGCAGAACGACGAGTCGAAGTTCTCTCAGATGGTGTCTAAGTACAAGAACAAACTGTTTGGAATGGATAATAATGAATCATCCTTAAAACGCACGCGTTGGTTTCAGTAATCTACCGAAGCTAAATGGATAAATCTTCGTTGGATGAGCAAGACATGTAGTTCAGTGTTGCTTAAACCTTCTGTTGTCCAAATAGGGAAAGGAAAGGACCTTTAATAAAAAAGAGAGAGCAGCCGAACAAAACATAGTTTTCTGAAATTTTGTCCAAGTGTAAGAACAAATTATTTGGAATGGACAACGATAAATCATCTACAGAACGTAAGCGTTGGTTTCAGTAATGCGCGAGAACTCGGGCTAAAATGAGAGTTTTTCCGCCACATGGGCCTTAACCGAAAATGATCTTTCGTAAGGCGTATGTGTCTCTTCTTGTTCACTCGATACTTGGTAAAGCTTTTTATGAATTTTCGTGTTCTCGTATTTCAACAAACAAGTAAACAGAACCAAAAACAAATCAATTAATTCGATGTACTTTTAAAAACCTTCCTGCTGCTCCGCGTTTTGTAAATAAAAGTGGTTTGCTTAAACGCTCCGTTTTTGATAAGAACAAAAACAAATGAAAAACGTGAATGAGAAGTGTGGTGGAAAAGTCGAGTGGAAAGCAGAATCAGGCAAAGTAGGAGTTCGCCGAACGAGCGTTAATTGGTGATCAATCCATCTTCGTAACAGTAGCAGCAAGAACTAAAGTTAAATAGTTTACAGTGGTTTGTCTAACATGAACTGAATGCATGCTGACCAAGCGAACGGTAATAATAGTGATTGCACAAGAATACCTCGAAAAATCGGAAAAACTAATAAACGAAGACAGGTATGAAGTAAACAGTCCAATTACAATTGAGATTTTGAACCTTTCAGTGACGTGGGTTAGTCACCAAACACAGCGTTGTTACTGAAAGCTCCATTCTCGAATAATTTCAACGTGCAACTTTTTTTCATGGTTAATAAAAGTTATTCATATCTTCTGCTTTCATGAATAAACACAAACAACCCTAGAAGCTTTTTGGGATCAATATCAGTATCTGGGCAACTGCCCACCTACCCCTCCCCTAACTGGGTTAGGGAAGGGGTAAGTGGGCTACTTGCTAGTAGAGCTCTTTAGCGGTTAGTTTTAATTTCCCAATGGAAACCTCTGGGGAATTCCCTCCCTTGTCTTTGGTAAAAAAATGCTTACATCTGCACGTGAGACGACGAAATTTGAGAGAAACAATTCTCAAGTGTATTATCACATGACCTACATTGCGCAAGCTTAAGAGGTCCGGCCGTAAACCAGGAAAAAACGTAAGGATTCATGGGAAATCTGCGAGATATGATGCAAGTGGAATAGGCCTTGTGAAGAAGGAAAACGTGAGTGGGCCGGGTTCAGTTGATTTTACGCGACGCCAAAAAATTAAACGAAAGAATCTTTTCTTTAAGATGATAGGGATTCTCAAGTGACCGCATCACGTTCAACGATCTCTGTCGGAAAGTCATTGCTGCACCAGAGTACATGTGTCTTCTCCGCCTTCCTTAAGGGAATCAAAGGTCCTGATCCTATTTCACGCACAACTTTCTGCAAAAGTCTCGCATCAAGAGTACTTTAAACAGCATTTTACGCGTCACGAACTAATAAGGAGACTAAACTTCAAATCCTTCCACTTGTGGGCAAGGTTTCAAGGAAATCTTTAGGTTTTCAAGAAAAGAAAGAAGACACTCATCAATCATGTATTTGGCGGGGAGGCGAATGACGCCTTGCGCTGGTTATAAATTTACGAAACACGCTTGCCTTTCTGTAAAATTGACGCTTCACATACATTTTGGCCTTGATCGTGCGTCAGTCTAAAACCCCTTGCCACCCTCTTTCTTGTGTAACATAGGTAATTGGCTGTTCAAAGTCAAGCAGTTTTTTTTAAAAGACTGAAGAGTGGAAAGCAGGTGTGGGCCTCCTATTCTCCATATTGTTGACTGAACAGAGCAATTATAGAGACTTTTGATTGTTTCCACTTAATCTGTTGCACGGGCCGAAACATATCAGCAGAAAAAAAAGGAAAAAAAAAGACGTCGGCCGCCCGTTCGTGAGATCGCGCGACATCAACTTATATAAATCCGAAGGTCTGAGGTTCGATTCCTCATGAGAACTCTGCCCAAAATTTTTTCATTGTCCTACGCTCGTAGTACTTGACCAGTTTCGATTATAAGGGTCGGGTTTTTTACTAAATGGATGACGGTATTTGCGAGTTTACTATGACCATGAACTGGGTTACTATGTGACTAGAGTCCTGTATGCTGCCTGAATTTGCATTGTCGAGAGTATATTTATAGGTTATTTTACGGTTGATGAGCGCGTACGATTTTTATTCACAACGAGTGAATAATGACTTATTTATTAAGCGAACAGAACTCAAAGATAAACATATCTTTATTTTCTCTCAAAGGAAAACAACGCGCGGTCAAGCCGCCTCACAGTTCGAGACTTGCACTGAAATGGCTTCCTTGTAAAATACTTTACAACACACGCACATGCGTGGGTGTGTGTGTGAGTTGCGATAGGAGGAAAAAACAGAGAGACTATACTTTTATACCAAGCCTGTTTGTGATTGCTCTCTTATCAGGGGATTTTGTTAAGTATATTCGTACCATCGTTTACATACTTTACAAATTTGCATAGTAGGCGTGTCGGTTAATTTCGATGCTTAGTTCAATTGTTACGCAGGAACGCTTTGTTTCTGTGGTGAGGACACGAGTTCATTACGTTTATTGAGTGATGATAATTCGGGTCGGCGGATGATGAGCAATTTTTCTTTGAGGCAGAAGTTGCATCTTTTGTTTGCGCTGTTGTAGGGTGATCTTGATGAAAGGATGCGCCATGAAATAAAGTGGTTAAAGTTATTTTCTTTAAGAGTCCAGATATGTTTGCTGAGTTCGGTAGAGTTTCTGTGTTTTGTGTGTCGGAATGATGCGGTGTGGTTTCTGTATCTAGTCTTGAAGTCGTTTTCTGTAAGTCCGATGTATGTTTCAATGGTGCCGTTGTCCTTACGTGTGACGGTGGCATGGTAGATTAGAGATGATTGGAGGCAGTTTCCGTTAAGTGGGCATGTATTCTTCTGTCGGTGCATCTTTTGTGTTGGTGTTATCTGCAGTGTCATTAATATGTTCGGATGAACTTAAAATGCGTATATGTGTGTGTATATATATATATATATATATATATATATATATATATATATATATATATATATATATATATATATATGTCAGGTACTGAATAATATCTACGAGACATTAAATACAAGAGTGATACAAAGAAAATATATGAGTTTCTGAATTTACGTTTGATAAGTTAATTTTCGGCTCTCCCAGGTTAATCCTTGCCTCCAGGATTTTTCCACGGCTTGTTTTTACCTAAAAGGTCTAATTCTGAATTCGAGTTGAAAATGCCACCCTCTTAAACCATTATTATTTCGCATCTTGCATGTCACCCAGTCGAGGGTCCCCATAGGGTTAACCGTTAGCCGTAAATCGGTCATAAAACTAGCTGTTGGGCGTAAGAATTGATACTTGAAATTTCAACCCTTAGTTGTAGCAAAAATTATCCTTAAAAATCTTTCCTTCTTACAAAGTGTTATTTTGTGTTATTCTGAGTTAACTGCAGCAGAAAAATGGCCAAAATTTTAACTGTTAGCCGTAAAAAGTTCTCCTCGGTCGGCCCTCTTCAGTTTTAAGTAAGTTAAGCTGTTTTAGTTAAGTTTGCAATCGTGGAAAAAAAACTCATCAATATTTTCTACACTCGAGGAACCACACCGACCTTGGGTACCTCCCATGAGGAGGACTCTTTCTATAAATGGAATAAAGCACCATCTCCCAAAGTGAAAGGTAATTTCTTTTTTCTTGCCTCTTCAAAGATATATGACAAAACATCATGTCGCTTTACATGCTATAGAAGCGCGTCGCGTGACATCCTGAGGAACGGCTGCCAATGAAACTAGCAGTTATAAAATCTGAAAAAAAATCGAGGTTTGTATCTTATTTAATAACTCTATCCAAGGAAATGGGCAAAAGTTGAGCTAATTAGACATAGGTGCGCTCACTTCTTCAAACGACAAGATGTGACAAAACATCACATCTGTCGCATAACGTGCTAAAGAATGTCTGACGCGTGACATCCTAAGAAACGGCAGTCAGTGATCGATACTAACAGTTATAGAGTCAGAAAATATCGAAGTTTATCTCTCATTCAATAAATTTATTGAAAGAAATGGGCAAAAGTTATTAAGCGAATAAGACATAGGCGCACTCATTACTTCAAACGACAAGAAATGGCTTATGCAGTTTGATGCAGAAATTTTCTTCCCTTTGTTATTGATTTCCTCTTCTATCCTAACAAAATGCCAAGCGATTTGTTTCATTCTTTGACATTCAAATGTTAGTTTATTGTACTTAGATAATAAGTAAACAATCTAATCGGAGAAACTAAATAAAATCATTTGGCTCCAACTTTCTAGCTCGTTCTGAGCTTCTTTTGTTGCTTTGTAGGCCAGTAACTAACATTAAAATAAAACTTCTCGTTTTGCCTTTAGACTAGCTCTTAGTTTAAACAATATACTTAAAATGCATCGTTCTGCTTGTAAAAAATAACACAATTTATCGCATTCAAAATTTAAGGAGAAATCTCAGAAAATTAACTAATACCAATACTAAATCCTGGCCATTACGGCCAAAATCTGTCATTTTAAGTCCAGATGAACCAAATTCTGATCGGCAAAAACTAACTTTAAGTTCCAATGACTGGGTACAAATCCTCGAAAAGTTGATCACAATTTTCATCTCACATAAACTAAGATAGTCGAGCAATCGGACAACTGATTATTCTCCAATTTCCATGGAAATTCTCCACACATGCACATGGCTGTAACAGCTTTACATCACTCATGAGACAAAAACCGATTAAGAAAAATCTGTAAAAAAACTGTGGAAAACGTTTTCAAGACGTTTCAACTTCGACGTAAACGTAATGCCTTAATCCTCGTAGTAGGTAATACTTAGATTAAAAATAACTTTTTACATAGCTAATCGTGATAATTTCAAGAAATCATATAAAAAAAAGAAAGAAAGAAAACAGTAGTTTGAGAAGGATATCAAAAATGAAGCTCGTAAGAGCAGTTCAAACAAGCAAAAAGTCAACTTTTGAATCAAAGGAAATCCGTTCTCTTGTTAAACTTGACTTTCGCCGTCTTTTGGTTCTTCCTGCTTTGAAAATAAGACTCTTGACATAGATTTCATCGGTAGCTTACTGGTTTCTGGTCCAAATATCAGCGTTTTGTTGGTATCCGAAAACTCCCTGGGATTCCAATGCTAACTGCCTGAACTGAAAAATAAAAGAATCTAAGTTTAGGGGGCCGGAATGGTTGAGTTGCCATGAAATATTTCCTAGCACATGAAACGATACATTGCACAAAAGGATTGTTTTAAAAGAAACTTGCTTTTTTACTCCTAATTTTTCCTAAAAAGAATGTTATCATCGTAAACGTGTCCACTTGATTGTACTGCATCTCAATTTGCCGGAGCGAAAAATAAATTCGTAACCCAACTGAAAGGAAAATAACACGCGAGTATCAGTGCTCACATATAGGCAATAATTATGATTTAATGTAACTTTGTATTGAATAGAATTTATGAACAGAATATTTACTTGCTTCAGCTTCTAAATATCATTGAAATCCAGGTTGACGTCGTCACCAATGAGTACAAATGGTGCCCAGTGCATCACCTCCTTGAACTTTTCAATTTCTTTCATACACTTCATGGCCTGATTGAGAGCTTCACTTGCCTTCTTGCCTTTGGAAAGTGCATCGTAGAAGAAACTCATGAACTCCAGGGTTCCCTCGTCGCCAATCGCCCACAAGGTTACCACAGCAGATCTGGCACCGGCAGCCAAAAGGGCACGCGCCATGCCGACCACACCCTCGGCCATGACCTCCCCACAAGC